GGGGGGGGGGGGGGGCTGAGCTGGCAGCAGCAGATTTGTCCCTAGAGTTCATCTGTTCCCATGGTAACCCCCAAAGTTCCCGGGAGAAGAACGTGGGAATTAGGATAAAAAACATCCACCGCCTTGTGTTCTCGTGCCGAAAATGACCCCAGTTCTCTGAACACTGTAGCCCCTCTGACTGCAGGATTACTGAATGTTATCCTCCAGTAATTTACTGTGCTCAGCTGGAAGACTTTGCATGCTTATAATTCGATTAAATGAGCTTGTAGAGGATAAATCAGAAATGGAAAGTGAGTTAACTCTTGATACTGTCATATCCTGCCATAAAGGATTGCACAAATTAGTTGTTACACGGGAATGACCTTTGACCTGTTGAGGATTAAATTAAAGAGCCACTAGCACCAATCTACCGGTGTCCATGAATGATTGTTTTTATAGTTTTATTTAGCATCTTACGGTATCTGCATAAACTGAAGCTGTTGTAGTTCTTTTGAGCATCAGGAAATTCTAACAAACATGCATCAGGTAGATTACCCATCTATATTCATAAAGTGTTCAGTCATATGGATGAACATGGAGTTAGATTCGGCTGTACTGTGTTAGGAACTGATAGAGTGAACATAATCGTCACGTTGTGTTTGAAAACCTTTTTTCCTCAAGTTGGACCTTATGCAACAGCTTTTTGTAATATGATCAGAGTGGCACATTTTCTCATTGAACTCTCAGCATAAATTCTCTCTGAGCAGTAAGACTGAGCCTACCAGGCAGCACCAGGATGATTTGTCATCCTTCGTTTCTTTTTAAAAATCCGTGATAAAAAATATTAATTCAGACGTTTCATGACGGCTCATGACAAATACATGGGAATGAGGGAGCACCACTGGTTTGGGAGTGAGTTATTATTGGTTTTGGAAGCAAGCTTTACTGAAGCAGAACCTGTCAAGGCAGACCAACGGGTCTCGAAGACATTGGCAGTTAACCATGAGAACAACAGTGTGAGGCAGTTAGATTCATTGCCATGTAATTCATAACCCCTGCAGGTACGCAATTAGCTGCTCACTTTGCACACTTCTCAGCAACTTTGGCTGTTGGTTTAGGAAATGACCATTGACCCACCATCAGTCAGCACAACAGAGGAAATGGTCTCAGTTCTCATCCTAAAGGAACAACTGTGCTCACAACTGGCTTTCTCACAGCACTGCGTACTTTGACCCTTTTTTTTTATCCCCCTTTGACTAGATAACAGCTTTTACACTGAATTACCGAGCAGGTCTAAGCTGATAAAGTATGGAAGCCTTTGAAAAAAACATATGTGAAGAATTCACAATTTAAAAAAGGATCCTAAGTTGTTTAGTGCTTAGCACAATGGTCCAGCTAATTTTCTTAAACAACAAGAGTGTATGGTGGTTTCTACTGTGGCTTCTCAACAAGGGGGATCTGTGGGGCCTCCAGTTTTCTCCTGCTATCTAAAAAAAAAGGTTATAAATTGGTTATTTGAAATTAAATGAATCTGCGCGGTTGTTTGTCACGTTTGACTTTATGACTGAATCACACAGCTGTGGTTGGAACACGCTCTGCTGGTTCGGATGGTTCTCTCAGACCTTTCTGTGGAATGTTCTTCTGGCTTTGTTTCTCAAAGGGCATAGCTGTGGTTCCCTCCTTCACACCAAAACATGTATTCTAGGTTAGTTAGTAAATTTGAATAGGCTGAAGGTGTGCGAGTGAAAGTGCTTGTCCTGTTTGCCATAGTTCTGTGAATGAGAAGTATCCAGTGATGGGTTTACTTAATCCACAGCATGTAGGACTTTGTCCAACACACTTTTTTAGCTAGAATAAACGCATGCTGTACATCATCCTGCAGTGCTGTTAATACTGCTATTATACTATTGACCTTTTCTTAGAGACTCCCATTCATCTGACTGCATCCTGCCTGTCCCTGTCCTGGTACCCATCATGCTAGTTATCAGTAAATGCTTGACTTTGACTCATCTGTGGCATTTTGCTGTGAATAGCATCCCTTATTTGTAATGAATCAGACCCCTTATTTAATTTAACCCTCTTATCTCGGGCAAATGAAATTTTCCCTCAAGACGTACCACCATCGCATCTCTTCCAGACAGTTGACCTGATAACGTTATTCATCCGTAAAAGGGACTCATTCACAACGCTGACAGTTAAATTCCTCCATGAGGAGTCATCGTAATGACAGATATTAGACCATTTTCTGTTGGCTTTTAGGGGTGATGGAGGTCAGTTGCCTCAGGAGTGGCAATGTAAAGTTTGCATGATGTGCTTCCCTCAAATCTGTCCTTGGAAGTCTGGAATGAAATTGAGGATATTAAAAGACACTTTGACTCAGTTACCTGATCTTATTCTTACTCAACTCCAGGTTTGTCTGAGACGGCCGTTCTTCATAAATAGGCCTGTGTTATTTAGGGGGCTGTTTGAGCTTGCATATAATAGAACCTTGACAAAGATGGATTGTTCTGGTTCAGTTCCGCACCACCTCTATCTTAGCTGCAGAATGCAAAAGCTTTAGTCTGGTCAAGTGTTTGCCTGCGTGTTAAAGTGTGGATATGCATTCCTGTTGGGACTATGGGGATTTGACTGAAAGAGTGCTGACAAACTCCGTGCCCTGTGGCTGCAACTAAGATTGAGTGTCCTACTACCCCAGAGGTCAGGGGATTTTAGCTGTTTATCATTTCTTAGGAGCATGCATGGACAGGTCTTTCAGACTGCTGTGTTACTTTGCTTCTTCACCAGTGTCCTTTACTCTGTCATCACCCCAATAATGTCGGCTATTGACTCTTTCAAGGATAATTGGGAAATGAATGGATGTGGTTTTGAAAACCGACTGCTTGTTTATACGGGAACATTAGTCATGCCTCTAGGTTTGACCCTCTTATACAGGCAAACTCTCCCCAAACTGTGTCAATTTCATAGATATTTGATTTGTAAGAAAGGTTAGTTTCTAAGAAATTAGCACAGGTGTATGAAATGATTTGAACTGCACAAGAGTGTGATTGGCTTGCCTTTTTCAAACAAGACAATTCAGTCCATGTGGAATCTCACTGCAGAGCAAGTTTCTGTGTAAAATAGAAAGACAAAGGCAGTATTCAGTGTATTCCCATTGTGTGTGAATAAAAGTTTTTTTCTTTTTTCCTGACATGAAGCAGCACGCCGAGGCACGATGACTAGTATCTCCCTTAGTGATCTCAAGGACTCCCTCTTTCGGGCTGATCTCTTCTTATGGCCCGCTCTCTTTTCCCTCCTTTCTTTCCTCAAACAAACAATTTCAGGACTTCGGGTATTCTGGCAGTTCAGTCAGTCGTGTGAGTGCGGCTTGTGTATTTCTTATTTTTTTAATCTCCATATGACTTGGGTGCGTCACGGGTTTATGTTAGATGTTTTCCTTCCTTGCTCTTTTTGGCAGAGAAAGCTGTCAAGCTAGTGAGAGCCCAACATGCCACAGCACGCTTGTGTGTACAGGCCCCAGGAATATTTTAATTGTTTCTTATGAGTGTGTGTGTCTAAAAGCGTAGATGCTGTGTCTGAATACGTATGATTCACATGACAGCAAATACAGAGGCACTACTAGGGCTGCCATGTGCATGCTGTTTGTTGACAAAGTTGCCGCTCATGTTTCGCTGAATATTTGGGGCATAGACACTCTGAAGTTATGGAAAATACTGGCGTCACTCTGTGACTGACAGATGGAAAGCCGTTAAAGAGGGCCTACCCTGGCCTTGGACTAAGTGAATCTATGAATTCTGCCTTGTTAATGTGCTGTTGCGTACCTCTTTACATTAGACATCCAGGCTCAAGAATCTACTTCCTGCAACAAACCACATCCAGTCACCATTGTTTTTTAATCTCCACTTTTTAGTATGCCGGTCTGCTCAAGCCTCGCAAATGTCTCAGATGCCTACAGGCTTAAGGACAAGCGAGAGCGGGAATAAATGAGTGAATTGCCCTCGGGAGGGATATGGAAGGAGAAAGGGACTACTATAGAGGTCAAAGGTCACACCTAGAAGAACCTAAAAAGGCGTGCTGTTTATGTCTAACTGAAGAAGTTATACACGCAAAAGGATAGGGCATATTCAGATGGCAAATAGCTGCAAATGTACTTTTAATGAGACAGCTGCAGTCTTCTCCTTGATGACAGTTCCATAAGTGCTTTGGGTGGTCCATAGGTATTAACTGTAATGAGTGAATAAAGATGTGTGCAGCGTTCTAATCCTCAGTGCTAATTAGTTGGAATCGGTCTTTGGAGGCTTAACATCAGATTTTCTCCCTCAATTCAACTACAGATAACAGCACTGCCTTTGTGTTCTGTCAGAACTAATGACTTTATCTCCTTCCGTATAATACCCCACAAGGAGACTTCGACATACTGTCTTTGTACCCTGCATATTTCCCCATGACAGGGATGGTCCTATGACTGTGAAACATCTCACCTGATGGAGGCATCTCTCTCTTTATACTCACAAACTTTTATTTGAGAGTTGCCCCCCCCCCCTGGCAGACCTATGAGGCAACCTTCTACCTTCAACTTTTTCCATACATACAGTACTACCAAAACCAGTCTAATCCATGCTAAATGCGTCTGTTGGGAGTCCAAACCACAGTCATTGTTCATTCTTCCATTCCATACAACCAGGCCTCACCTCGCTGTACTCACCCTTACCTTGACACCACAAAAACCACCAGAGAACACCTTTAAAGTTTCCGAGGTACATAGCTCACTGATGTGTCCTTTATGTTCCTGCTGAATCAGACAGGCAGGCAGACAGCCCCCTTCAAAGCTCACCACTCATACCCTGAGCTCCGGAGCAGGGCTCCAGGAAGCACGGCGTTGAGGTGTGGAGAAAACATAAGCAGCTGTGGGAAGCATGTCTCCACTAGCCAGTCGCAATAGTAACAGTTATGGGGCATGCATGGACCCCTCCTTGTAGACTGAGTGAAGGTGAGATCATGCCAGCAAAACCAACTTTAATTAACTCCGCAGTTTTATTGGTGGGGAGTGAACATATGAATTTATTCCATACATATTATCTTATTTTTGCCAGCGTAGTACCTGAAGTTTCTTTCTGGCCTTTTGACTTCCTTCATGAGAGGGATACAACATGGTAAATAAAGCATTACACGTTAAAGTGGCTGTTTAGAGCCCAGCTGCAACAGATGTGGGTGATAGCAGATGGTTAAGGATCAGGACTGTTGTGGCTCCTCAGATCCCCTTTGTTCCTCACCGATAGCTGTCTTTGTGATGGCGTCGGGGCAGACAAAACAGAACAGTCTCTGGGAACAATAGAGCCAATTGCGAAAAAAGAAAAGACGGCGTGTCAGACAGTGCAGGAAGCCAGCATTCAGTGGTCCCCTACCTCTTTATCACCTGGATTGGACCACCAAGAGGGATCAGGAAGAACAAACGTCTGCTCTCACACAGCTTCACAAATGCAGTGTCTAAATTGGATTTTTTGGCAGCCTGCAGTCTCCAATCATAATTACAACCTTTTGTGCTAATTACTTTACTTTTTTAGTGTTGGACCTCCTGCGGCATGAATTTTTTCAAATCTTATTTTAGCCTGTGATGTGTTTGAAGTCTCTTTACGGACTAAATCTTCTGAAACAAAGTAGTTTTTTTTAAGGCGAAACAAAATGATTGACTTTTCCATAAACAATCTTTATCATACTGATGTTAGATTAGAGCTGTTTATGGATGCAACTTTGTGGAGCTGGAATCTTTATTGCCCAAATAATTGTACCAGCACACCAAGCCCGAGTCCGTGGGGCTGTTTATCTGTGAGGCAGGCTGGCCGGCAGGCTGTTCCATGCAGGGATTACTATTCCTGCAGTGATTCAAATAACAACACCGCATGATTTGGTTCACTTGTTTTTTTCTTATTTATTTTTCTTTTTTAAAGGTTGACTTCAACATCAACAAGAGGCAAAAGATTTAGCTTTGGTTTGGAAACATTGGCACATAAAAACAGGTAAAGGGGCCCATCCGGGACGGACCACCCGTGAAGGGTGCCGCAGAACTCGGGCTCGGCCCAGTCCCAAGATGCAGGCCAGATGGGCTGAAGTTGACAGGTCACTAATTGTCTGCCCGTTCCCTTCTATCGAAGGGCAGATGCAGTTTGAGGCCTGCAGAGTCAAATAGTATTGGATTTGATGACCTACATGACCACTTCTGCTGCTTGGATGTAGCTTTAGGCTGTGTCACTCTGATCCATGAGGATGTGTCAGACAGGAAACGTATAAGCAGGAAATGGTGATGGGCTGTGATGCATTTGTTTGGAATAGCTTTATTTGACGTGGATTACGTGCTCCAGCGCTGGTCTATACTGTCTGTTAATATGTTTATTTTTGTGGTTCATCAGGCTGTCTTTCTGCTATATTTGCAGCCAGGAGTTGGTTTATGTGCGTGTATGAGTGTGTATGCATGTTTGGGATAATCTGCTGGATGAGGTGGGGTCATGTTTACAGAGCAGGTCCCAGCAGAGCCCAGATCTCTGACCTTCACATTCCAGAACCAACACTAATCACCTCCGTGTGTTGTAACTCATAGAGAAGCCCTCGCTGCATCCTTCATAGTTCTATCACCCCACTTTTCCCCTTCAAGTATCAGTGCTCTGCGCCTCATTTATCAATATTCCAGCCTCCTGACTCATATTAGCCTAGGTTGCATTTTGACATTGAATTGATCTGGCGTTGAGCAATATGACAACGTCAATGAATAACGACCCTCTGCCCTCTTTTCTTTGCACTCTTTCAGCAACTTTCTCCAAAGGCTTTTAAAAAAATATTTTCTCGCTGTTGGTTGTTGTTCTCGCTGAGCTCATTCTGGGCTGTGGTCATAGATGTGTAAATTAGAACCAGAAGAGTTTCTCAGAGTGAGGCACATATCCCCTCTTCTTTCACTCCCCCCTCTCTCTCTCTTTTCTTTCTGTCCCTTTTGACTATTTAAAAACATTCCTACTTTGAATGTCAGTCCCAGTGAGCAGCACTTTTTGGCCTGACTGTGTGAGCTGACCCAGTTCTCTTTCTCCTTTTGGGTCTCCTCGCAGGCCGTACGGATCTGCCGCTTTTTGAGCATGTTGTTGGCCAGGTGCAGAGGTTTGCTTACAGCTGGCTGACAGATGATGTGAGTCTCTGGCTGACGCTGTGTTGTTGTGAACATAGTATAAATGTGGCTGCAACGTGCTGGGGTTGGCTTTAGAAACAAGAGCCTTTTTTATTTTTGTATTAAGATACAGATACATTTGAAACAACTCTGAGTTTGTGATGTAACCTAAGAGGAAAAGAACATGTTGGCTTGTTGTCTTTTCAAGGAGATGCTGAATGCCATTTATTGTTACCATTGTTTCATCCTTGTTGGAGGCTATGTGCATCACTCAAACAGTACAACATAAACCTTCTTTCCTGGCAGGCACTGGGTATTAAAATATACATAATTGAAGCTCAACACTTCCCATTAGACAATATCTACTGAGAAAAAACCATGTTCATAGTACAACATCACAATGTCATTACCTTAATGGAGGCCCAATCCATTATCTTCCAGTCGATCGCGGCAACATATTGATTGCTGAGAGTGGACTGGCCATGTTGTAGATGAGAAGTCAGAGATGGGCTGTTAATGGATTATACTGAAAGAAAAAACACCCTCTCTCTGCCTAAGATAATAAAAAAAATGTACCAGCTGCATCTGAAACACTTAATGATATATTTTTTAAATATGTAATGTCAAATAGTGCATCATTTGTAACTAAAATGATGAAAAGAAGAAAAAAACAAAACAAAGACACAGCTCTGAATTTCACATTCAGATGCAAATGACAGGAAAAAATGGGATCCCCCATTGAGGTTCTCTTTTCTAATTGACAATGCAAATGTGAATTATTGAACTGATATACAACTGATTTTTTATTTTTTGCTTCAATGTTTCCCACGGGGCTGCATGGTGGTTTGGTTTCTAGCCCACTTTACAGCAGCGAGGTCATTCCCATGTGGGATTTCTCTGACGTCATCAAACAGTCAGAAAACAGGCATGTCAGGGTTTCTGGGGACTGTAAGTTGACCATAGGTGTGAGTATACATGGTTGTTTGTCTTGCAACCTGTTTAAAGTTTAATCTGCCTCTCACCTTATGGCAACTGGAATAGGCACCAGACCAGCACCCAAACAAGATGAAGTGGGTGTAAATTAACAAATGAAAGTTGCCTGTTACACAATTCAGAAAAATACTGTCATGTCCGGTACCATGAAGAACACCATGCTTTGTTTTGGGTTTCATCAGAGCATCATGGTCTCCTGGTAGCAACACAGTACTCATGACATTTAAGATAATATAGTTCATTCAGTTTCATTATGTAATTCACATTTGAATCGGTATCTCTTTGAAATTATGTAAACACAAAAAGTTCAAAATGAGAGATAAAGGGAAGAGGATGGAAAGTATGCGTGAGGTGCTGCCAGTTGACATAGAGTAAGATTTGCTACGAGATCGGGGTCAGATGAGAGGTGTCTCCTCTGCTATCTATCTGCCTCACTGTGATGGCGTCACAGCCTCTGCTATCAGTGTGCGACGTGTCTCCCTCTCTAACTTCCTGCACGTCTATCTGTTTAGTCTTTCCATCAGGGCAGCATGACTTTTAAATAAAGTTCACTAACAAACATGTTAGAGTGTAGCATTATGCTTTAACATCCCAACTGATTGAGAATGCATGACTATAGTTAGCCGACTTTAGCATGTTTGACTAAAGCTTTTTGTGTGTTTTCTTTCACACATTTATGTCATTTATTACTTTGGTTACTGTGTGTGTATTAGCTCAGTGATGTTTAAAGAAAGGTATGAGTGTTTTGTTTATGGCCAATGATGGTAGTACACAGAAGTTATATTAAAAATTCTCATGATGGGAAAATCGTACAGAGCACTGCAACCTTTGTCATCAAGTTCTGATCCTGAACCATGTCAAATCTATGAGGATATGAAGACGGAAAAAGCCCTTTAATGTCCTTATTTGAGTGCTATGGTGTGCATTTAGTCGTTCCCTTTGGCCTGATTTGTAAAGTTTATCCCGTGCACTTCTTGGTCACGTAGTCTGAGAGATTCCCTGGCAGGAGCTGTGTTTTGGCCTGGGTGAGTTCCAGCCAACCAGCAGGCCTGGGATGAGAGGGAGAGGCACAGAGGTTAATGATTAGTCCCATGTTCTTGCTGCATTCCATGGGGTGACAAGGGGACATGGGATAGAGGACAGAGAGTGTGCTGGGCAAGCCTTTTTACGACTGTTGGCTATGAGATTTGAAAACAGTGCAGTAGGAAATTCACCGCTCCATGTTCCTTTATGGGTGTATACTATGGCACCATCGCCCCACTTGCTATTAAACTGTGACAAAACCTTTACCCAGTGGACTTTGACCATAAGACAGGGAGGTTTGTTTGCTTTAGCAGACTTTGACCCTTTTCATATGCTTTGAAACTTTATGATCGAGGGAAGTTGAAGGGGACAACAATGAGTCACTTTTGACTGAAACTGAGTCATTGCTGAACAAAAACTTGCCATTTGAACAGTGACTTTATTGTCCTCTTTTGGTTCACGGATTCTTTGATATCAAACATGTTCTGGAAAATCTGTTTCCTCCTTCCTCTGAAATCTCCACTGTAATGCTCATAGCCCCATCCATCTGCACCTCTGTCTGTCAGCCCCTTCTCTACCAGAACCAGCTTTGAGTGGAATACTTGATCACCAGATAACTGCAAATCATCCAACTCAATGAATGACACATGATATGGCTACCTATCTTATTACGCTGCATCTTATGACATTCTTCCACACGCCAGGAGAAAGCCACCTTTATATTAACAACGGCCTCTGTGTCCTGCTCTCTGTGTCTCTTTACCCATGGGTGAACCATGTTGCAGACATTAATCCAGAAATATTTTGTTTTTTCCTCTTCTCCCCCATTCCTTTTTCTTTTCCACAAACTTTCAGCCTCTATCCCATTTTTTGCATGTGAATTAAAGGCAGTGACTCCTTATAAACGAGGTTTTTTCTGCGGAGACCCCAGCATCACCTATCCATACGTGGAGAGAGAGGCCATCCCTGACACTCTGCTCATTGCTGGAGGAATTGCCATCACAGGCTTAACAGTAAGTTGCTAGCTTTATTTGTCCACACTAAATAAATGACTCAAAAGTTGTCCAGCTTGACTTAAGTTAACACTTTCTTCTGATGTCCTCCTCAGATTGCACTGGGTGAATGCTACCGGGTACGTTTTCGTGGAGTGCACTCACGGGCCTTTGTTCGAAATCACTATGTATCGTGTCTCTACAAAGAACTTGGGAGCTTCCTGTTCGGGTGCTGTATCGGTCAGTCCCTCACGAATATGGCCAAGCTGAGCATAGGTCGCCTGCGACCCAACTTCCTCTCCGTGTGTAACATCACCTACGCGTCCATTAACTGCACCCCCGATAGTTATGTGTCCCAGGTCACCTGCAGGCAGCCTAACCAGAAGATGGTGGAGGAGGGAAGGTATGCTGGTTCTCAGATAGAGTTGTTTGCTAAGGGCGGGGTGTACAGTAAATTTACTTTTGCAGTTAGTGTGTAACTTGTGGCTTTTTTTTTATTGATCTTCTCTTTCAGGAAGTCGTTTTTTTCAGGCCACGCTTCCTTCGCAATGTACACCATGCTTTATCTGGCGGTAAGTCTCCTTTGCTTTAAAAGCTCACACTCTCACAGAAACACACCAATGGGACTTTCACATTCACCTCAAGTTATGTAGTTGCTGCATGTGGTGTTATGTTTAAAGATTCAGCTAAATATTACAGCTCTAACTTTCTACAGCCTGAAGAACACTTTGTCCCACCGTTAACTAAGCTAATTAAACATTCCCAAACTCACACCGAGACATGTGCTGTTAAATACAGTCACTGCTGAATGGAAGGGAGGAGATTCTTTAGAGCAGCAGCCCTCGACAGGCATCCAGCTTTAAACTGAAAGAGCTGGAGAGACAGAGAGATGGGGAGGGGGCGGAGGAGGGTGGAAGAGAATGAGGGAGACTGTTTTCCACAGGGAGCATGAATAGATGAAGAGACTGCACAAACAGAGGAGGCCTTGTTGTGGGTCTCATTTAGAGGAGGGGGTGAAGGGCTGAATATGCCTGCTGAGAGATCGACAGGCTTCTTTCAGAAATAGGCGCCCTCTCGACTCTCTTCATTTCTCACTCTGTGGTCATGGCTGCGTTGTGACAGAGATGTTACAGTTGGATGGAGACGAATGTGTGTTATTAACCATAAATACGTCTACATTTGCGGTGGGTAACGGCGTCGCCTCGCAGCAAGAAGGTTTCTGGTTCGAATCCCGGAGGGACTGGGGCCTGTCTGTGTGCAGTTTGCATGTCTCCTCGTATCTGCAACCATATTCATGTTAGGTTGATAGAAGACTCTAAATTGGCCTTGGTGGTGAATGTGTGGTTGTGTGTCTCTGTATGGCCCTGTGATAGACTGGAGACATTGATGCTACCTTGCTGCTAGCTAATGTTTCTACAAGCTGCAGACAACAGCGTGTCAACCTGTAGGTACACGCTACCTAGATCATAGCCAGCTGCCTAGTGTAAAGCATGAGGGTTGACATTTATTTTCATTTTAGGTGAGGGACAACAAACACACCTCCAAATACGTCATAAATCGATCTGTGTATATATATCACATTCATCTCGTGCCTCCATTTTGTAACCACAAACACCCACTGCCCACTGTAATGCTGATGCTATAGAATTAGGGTTCAGAAATAGTTAATGGAATCACACCTCCAACTTGTCTCAGCTTGAAACCTAACTTAATCATCAGTTTGCATTTTCTAGCACAAATAAATCCATAGTTATCCACATGCTTCAATTTAAAGTGGTCAAAATTCTAACAATTTTCTCGATTTTTACAGTTTTACCTGCAGGCGCGATTTTCGTGGCGAGGGGCTCGGCTATTGCGTCCGCTAGTGCAGTTCCTCCTGATCATGATGGCGATCTATACCGGCCTGAGTCGCATCTCGGACTACCGTCACCACCCCACCGACGTGCTCACTGGCTTCATCCAAGGGGGGCTGACTGCATACTGGGTGGTATGGGCTGTTTGAATACTCTTGAATATGTTGTATCTTTATATTTGCAGGATTAGTTTCCATCCGCTGACTGTTGACTTAGTTATCTTACACAATATGCCCTCCCCCTCATTTTTCTCGCTCTCCTCGCTCGCTGTTTATAAACTAGGAATGAATGACAGTATGTGTGGTCTGTATATATTTCTTCACTATGTTTTTTTTTTGTGCCTGCAGGCTTTCTACATCTCCTCCATGTTTAAGCCCTGCACACATCCAGATCTGTCTCCAACAAGCATGTCCCTGGAGAGTCCACTGTCCAGCCAACAAACTGTTTGCTAGCAGGTGTTATACAATCAGTTCAGGAATCAGAAAACACAAAAGGATGGAGGGCAATACAGGGAAAATAACAAATAATGAGAAATAGAGAAAGTTGTAGTTTATAAGAAAGGGAATTATTCCATGAGCGAGATATGCTAAAATCTAATGCGTGCGTACATATTTTGGGATATTGATACACATACAGACATCCATTTTCTAACATATTCACACTTTTACACATGTGAAGTACATCTGACGGTACATCTAACCCGTCCAGTGAAAGAACTACATGGCAATATTACTGATTTTTAAAAAAATATATAAATGAAAAAAGTATATTTTTAAAGAGGTATTTTAGAAGCTGCTAATGTTGAAAGTTTCCAGTCTTGTTTTCTTCTGGGATGGAGATCTTTGTCTTGGGCATTTATTTTAGCTTTTAAAGCACAACTCATCGAATCTGAGTGACGGACAAGAAAATGCCAGCCTCCTGCTTCTTTTTGATCCCCGGCTCATCTTGGAAAACACCAACCAGTAGCTGTGAACTGAGACCATAAAACCTCAGATGTAGAGACAGCTGTGTGCAAATCAATGGAACTGTCAGGAATAGCCAGCAAGCACTGGCTCCAGCTTCTAACCATCTTTACCTCCATTGCCCTGATGTTCTAATCAGACTGCCCAACATAGTTAAACTATAACCAGTGCGTAATCAAAGAAACAAAACAGTGTTTTTGCTGTAATAACAGGGAGTGAGTGGAGGTGGAAGCACTCGTACCTGGTAACTTTCCCTTCTCTTCACCGCGCTTTTCTGTACTAACCACTTTGACTGTGTCTCAGAGATGGAGGTTTGACTGAATTTCTGAAACCTCTGACTTCTGCCCCGGGACTCAAATCTGTGAGCTGCACCTTGATTTATGCCACTCAGACAGGAAATGTGGCTGCGATGCAGCTGCCTTCCTGTGTATCCTAATTAATAGCACTTGAAAGTAGTTAATGGAATCTTCTAATTATAATCAATATTATATATTTGAGTTCAAATAATCAGTGTTTATTTTTGTTCCTGTCAGACTCTTACACTATTCTTTCCTTTTTTCTCTCAAATGATAATTATTCAAACTGAATGTAAATAACTTTCATTTTATAAACCACACAGATTTTCGAAAGTATTAGTTCAAAGTCTCGAACAATTTTTACATGTTTATGTGAGTGTATTTACAGGTACAAACATTTGCTTTTGTTCTTGTTGTAACTACTAGACTGAGCCACAGATATTATCAGAAAGCTATATTTTTATGTTCCCAGTTATTGTTATTTGTCTCTTTTGTCTGTGAATGCCACGACGGCGGAAATAACCACTGTACTCAACAAACCAAACCATTAAAGTTGTTGAATATTTTTAACCTCTTCTGTTGTCTGTTATTTGGGTAAGCAGACAGGAAAGTGTAGAAATGCATGCACAGAAAAAAAGCACTTCACAACAGCAAGCAAATATTATCCTCTATGAAAAACTGTTGTTTCCTGCAACACACTGGAAAGGTCACCAGTCTTCTTCACTGGCTTCTAATAAACACAGCTGTCAAAACACTTCTTTTACTCATTCTTATGTCAGCCAGCAAACACCCTTTCAATCCTTTAAATCGTAAGATTCCACACATTTAGAGGAGGTTAAGAAATCTGGGCTAGAATAAAACAAACAATGAAATGATAAGTGATTTAAGCACGTGTTGTGTTTGGAGGCCTCTACTCCAGTATTTTCCAAGTTTCCTTTATCTGAGGTCCCTCTCTCCCTCACACCCTTCCTCACTCTGCCCCTGCTCTGCACTTCTTTTCATGTGCAGTGAAGCATGATGGACTGTTTCAAGGGGTCATGCTACCATGGAGATGTTTAGCCTGATACAGGTTAAGACTTCTGAGGCATTTTCTTTCATTTTCTTTTTTTTTCCTCTTTCCAACTTCCAGGCTTAAGGAGGAGAATAAAAACCGGGCAAGATCAGACAAAGAGAGTGAAAATAAAAGCAGAGGGCCTCACTCGGGGCTGTGTATGTAACGGTAAACTAAGGGTGCGAGCACAGCAAGTGATCCAGTAATGACGGGAAAGCGTCATGGAGCAGTTGGCAGAACAGATGGGGCTGTGGATCAGGGCGAGTGAGCGAAAAAGGGTGTGGGGTGTCAGGCTAGGGAGGATTGTGATTATGGGCTTGTTTTGTTTCGCAATATCGTAACTAAGGAGATAAGATTGATTCCAGAGTATATGCCTGTGCTGACGCGACATGTTCCGGTCTATCAGCGCCTACCTTACTACTTGTTATTGTTTTATGTTGAGCTGTGTGTGAGCGAGCAGAGTTATGTGGAGACTGCTCTACACGGCACTCATACACCCTGTCAAACATGACATCTTGTTTACACTGTGACCGCGCTAACCCTTTGGTCCAAGTGAAAATGAAAGGAGTCAACAAGATTCTCTGTGTTTAGATTACCGAGGTCGAGAAAGAGGGACCTCACTATTTACAATGATGTGATTGTGCACACAGTAGGAGTTGTTCCTCAGAACCGCTTCATTTAGAGTAAGGGGGTATTTGATCTCTTATCTCAACAGGTGAAAGCCATTAACTTCTGCATGCTTCACTGTGAAAGAAAATGAAAGGCACTTTTTCCCCCCCTCCTCCTCATACATTAACTTTGGGGAATTCCTTGATAAGATGATGACCTTGCCAAGTTGGACAGGTGCAGGAATAGCAGGGCGGATGTCAGGGCTGATCCAAATCGACAGAGATAAGTGTGCTGTGGAAGGCACGTAGTTCATCCCCCCCCGCCTCCATGTGTGGGGAAGACATGCATATCAATGCATCACACATTCTCTGTCTACCAATGATAATATCATCGAGGCACTCGTAGATCATCCAAATTCTATTTTTAAAAGACTGTTCCAAAGGTTCTTTGCCACCCATAACCTTCAACAAGATATAGCAGGTATGAAAAATAAATGAATTGATGTGTGAAAACCTTGTTCTAATTTAAAGTGATGTCCAATTTTTAAAAATTGGACATTGGACAAATATTTTTGGTCAGGATTGGTGAAAGAGGCTGTAAATTGACTCATCTGTAAAGTGGAATACACATTTCTCTGCATATCAATTTTTATAAAGAGCTCTTTACTATGGGTCTCCAAGGCTTTGCAGAATTAGTTACAGGAGCTATGTTCATCTCTTATCCAGCTGTATTGCAACTCTTAATAGAATTAAATAGGATTAATGGCTTCTTTAGAATCCTCTAGTTCAGGCCTGCTCCACTAACCTCGCTGCTTTGCATATTTTTAATTTACGTTAAATAATGACAGTGGGGAAGCCCACAAACTGGAATCAGGACTGCAAGGGTATTAAGTCCTCATATGAATCTGTGAATACATTGGTTTGCATGTTCAAACAGATGTTTCGACAGATGATTTAGAAGCATGTTTGCTTCTAAATCATCTTCATTCTGCTCTTGATGGATTAGGGAGTGTTGTCACTCTAAGGGAGTATAAAAAAAAGGCTGCCTACACAGATCCACAGACAATTAGATGGAGACCTAAGGTGGACATCTGGACCACAATCTCAATCTGAATGTTTGCCTGCAGCTCCACAGATACAGAATAGAAACACCTACATACCTAAGCTATCAGTACATTTCTAAAGTTAGAAAAACACCCATTCATTCCAAACCTCAAAAAACAAATGCGCAGGTGGGTCCAAAGCTCTGTCTGGAACTGTATGTACCCATAGAGAGTGCACATGTAATGGAAAAATATTAAGATAAATGATAAAGACAGTTTAACAGTAAGACAGCTGCAACTGGCTACAGTATACAGGTTACTGAAAGATTATGAAGTAACAGGGTACAAAAGACTGACTGTTGTGAAAGTATAAAATGGAGGAAGACCATTGGACCAAAGCACCAATAAAAGTATTGTGAATGTGATTAAGTTGATTTTACGATTCCTATACTTTATTACAAACCAACAGTTTTAATTCTTCCGGGCAAACTCCTTCTTGAGATATAGAAGCTGATAAAGCTATATCAGCTTTGACATAATGACAAATCATTCACCCAGAGTCAAAGATTTCCTCAAGGGACACATCTTTAAGTTGACACGTTGTATGTTTATTGTACAGCAACTGTGATATCACCTCTTTGTCGGATTCGTTTATCAGGACTCAGGTTAGTCACGCTGTCAGAGATACTGAACAATTTAGTTGTTGTTGTGTAGGCTGAGCCATGCGAGATGATTGGTGTGGATCTGCATGCTCACATTGTGCTGCAACTTACAGCCCACTGCTGACATTCAGGAATGAAAAAACAAAATAATGGCAATGAAAGCATGAGTGCGGAGCTGTGAGAGAAGAGAAGAGACAGGCACTGGATCCTGGGCTCCAAAGTCTGTAAGTTAAACATCCCACAAAGCATACGTTTCCATGTGGCGGTGGTGTAATGGTGACATGACACCGAAAGACTGTTTTTTCACAAAGAGGGATCATGAAAACAGACCATCAATCACTGTATTTCTTAAAAAGTTTAATGTACACAACAGACTTCAGTGCTCACTTTTCATGTCAAAGCAGCTGGCCTCATTAGATGCATCTTCCGAAAACATCTGTCGCTAGATGTGTGCAAAAGCCAGGCTGGATCAGCCAACAGCCACACTCTTTATGGGTGTTTTTCCCCAGTAAACAATCTGTTTATGTTTTCAGAACTGTGTCTATGCCCGTGAAATAGACTGGAGCCCTTCAGGAGGTCAAAGGAGTTTTACACATACCATTTTGTTAGACTGTATACAGTGTCCATGTGAAATAGTGATGATGGTTATGAATAAACTGTACATTTCGACACAACAAAAAAAACAACTGAAATAAAAAAGACATAATATGATGATAACAGTGTAAGTAAAAATGGCCGAACTGAAGCTCTGATGCAACATGCTGAGGGCAATGAAGTGCATTTGTCGTAGTTTGTGCAAGTGTTTTCTCTCTGTGTTTGAAATGAAACTTCCTTTAATCTGTTTCATGTGCATGTAAGTGTGATGATAGCTTACTGCCAGTGTGTTAAGAAACTTGGTCAGAGCTGACTGGCAATTTTCCTGTTTTCTTTTCAAGAATGAGATGAGCTTGTAAAAGACTAATGCATGTAAAACATTTCCTCTAACTTAACTTGATGGGAAAACTTCTTTATAATTGGTAGAGAGGGGAAACACTCTAGAACAAAAAGTAGCATACATTTTAAGAACGCCTACGTCTCATCATGATATCTCTTTCTCACACCCAGGGTTTCTTTTTTATGCTTTGGTGTTATGGTTTTTTACATACTTTCAAATAATTCTCTCTTCCTGTAAAACATTGCCAGGGGAGTTTTCAGTGGCTTTTAAGGTTTGTTTGCAGTCATGTAGTGTATTTGCCAGACAATGTCAGTCTGACGGCTACGGCTCTGTCATTTGTTTCTGTCCTTTAATTAGGTTTCTATTTTTCAACGGCCTGGTGACAGATAAAGGTGTCAGCGGAAAAAGCTGGAGAGAGGGAACCCTCTTGTTGAAAGATGGAGAATGATGACAGAATGATAACGCCTGAACAAAAAACACAGAGCTTTCTACCTGTTCAGACACATGTCAGCTAGCCACGATCAGCACACTGAAAGAATGTCAATTAAAAAAGCTATGCGGCTGAATTTAACTTGTTGACAGCGCAAATTTGTGCATCAACAAGGGTATTTTTTCATAGAAGCTATTTTGACTCGCAACAACAGGAAAAAAACAACAGAAAGAAAATAACTCGTTTTAATAGAATGCCGCAGTGCTGCTCTTTCCACCTTTCTCCTTTTGCCACCTTTTCAACCAAGTCCGTGCCTGTGTGTATTTAGAAATGGGGACCAGTCAAGAGTGAACAGTTAAACAGAGACTGATCAACAAAATCCTGGCATGGACACACATACTTAACTGACATTTTAAAGCACAATGTAAAGTCCTGACACGCTTGAGGTGCGACCGTTAAGAATCTATGTGTGACATAAGGCAAACAAACAAAGAGCTTTATCCAAACAGAATAAACTTAATTGTTGATTGGATAGGAATTTCTTTCATAACATCTCATGAATCCCCCAAATGAGAAGTGCATGTCAATGCTTGCACATGAACTTGTCTGTTGATCTGAACAAATAGATATGTTTGTGTATTGAGTGTCTGTCTTATATGTGTGGGTGTACAATGTACACTGAAAGTGAGGCTACAGAAACAACTCTGAACAGGATGTAAAAAAAAATCCTGATTGTTTATGTGGGATTATTCCTCACAATGCACAGCATTATCAGAGAGCTCGCTCTGTAACAAGACACGCTGACCCTGGGTTTGCCTGGTAAAATACCAGCGAATCACAGGAGGGAAAAATAAGGAGAGCAAAGACAAGAAGTACTCTGAAAAAAAAAGAGCCAAGAGAAGACAAAGGAATAAAGAGTGGCTTGAAAGGGAAAGTGGGAGAGAGAAAACCGTGGAGAAAGAAATACAGAGAAAGCAAAAGTTGAAGAGGAGGCCATGCTTCACACCGAGAGATTTGTTTTCTCACAGACATCCCTCTCAGCAGATTGAGCTGGAAAACAGATTATAGTAACAGAGGCCATCCAACTTTTGTAACATGTGCTCCACCTCTACGTTAATAAAAGCTGCTCTGCATGGTGATGTACGGTGCTGTGACATGGATGTTAGAACTTAATGCAACCACACTAAGCAACCACACATCTGTCAGATGTTTCATATTTAGTAATAAGAATGAGATGATGTTTTTCACTGCATTGTTTTATTTTATTCTTTTTATAGGAATTTCTCAGTGGGATCAGGTTGCGGTGCCCAGACTAACTATGCTCTCTAAAGGGGAGCTGTGGTTTTGGAAAGGAGAGCCGGCTCACTATGGAAGGACCTTTAAAAAGAGTAGGTTACAGAAAATGTAGATGGGTTGTTGTAGACACAGTGTTGTGGGAGGCCCAATGATGAATTTTTCCCCCCATGAATGATCCACCATTTGCAGAAAAGAAGGAGCAAACATATCTAAATCATCTTCTTTCTCTTTTTTTGCTACACATTTACTGGTTAGTAATAAATGAACAGTAAGGGAATTATTGTTATATCCTGTTAATGAGCAGCTAGCAGCTAAATTCCTTCATCTGATTGTTGTGAGTATGTAGGTGTGTATTATGAGTGTGATGTATAGCTGGCAGTGTGCTGATTTCCCCTTGTGATATCAAAGCTGAGCCGCTGGGGGGGGGAGTTTAAGTTTTCATACTGAGCCAGGTAACGCTGTTGTATATACCGTTAAATTACAGAATATGCTTATTAGCATTTTACTTGAAAGCCTCCCAGCTGACTTTGCTCGATGTAGACTAGTTCTTCCACTTCCAAGGTTGGAACTCTGGATTTTATCTGTGCACAAACTGGAAAATTGGGGTGCAAAAATAAACTGAATGCTGACTGTGACAGTGTGAATTTGGTTCTATTTTCATTTTGGGAGTTACTCTTAGCCTGTGTGTGCGGCTTTGATTGGGGCTGGCTTTCCTCTCATGTATTCCGAAACAGTTTTGGAGTACTGAGCTGCCAGCACTGTTGTTTCAGAACTACTCAGAATTCTTGGGATGTAGCTGTTCGCTCAGCCCTGACTTTAAAACTAACAAACTCTCAGGATTCTGCTTTTTGGGGTGTTAAGATTACTAGTGCAAACTCTGTAAAAGTTAATGATTCCCCTCTTTACTGTTAATCAAAAAGCATAGGACAAAGAATGAACCCTTTAGTGGAGGAAAACCTACCACTGCTGAGCAGAATAAAAACTGTGCAATCAGATTGCACAAGTGGCTCAGAGTTATTTGCCAAAAAATCTTGCTGAAACTGTTTTGAACTTGCTGGATTCCCAGCAGTTGGGTCATGTGATGTGAGTATTCTGCATAATCTCTGTTCTTCCTTGTTTATGTAGGGGCTATGAGGATACATAGAAGGACAACACAGTGTGGAGATGGAAGAAGCAGACGGTGATGGGGAGACACAGGCGGGCCCACATAGTCTGAATGGCACAGACTACGGTTTGTGTTTTCTCGGTGGACCAGAGAAGATGCAGTCTAAATGAAGCGTGCTTCAGCTTTATCTCTGGCCTGCGTTTGTGTGTGTGTGTGTGTGTGTGTATCTGTACAGGAAGAATGAAAGAGGCCTCATTGAGTAAAAAGAGGCCTCTCTTCTTTCATGCTCACAAAATCTTGGTAGGGCTGCCACTTTTGGTTTATAAGCTATGTCCAAAAGATCATGAGCACAACACTGATAAAAACTTTTATTGCCTGAAATTCATTCATGATAATAATAATAAAAAAACATCCTGCTGCAGTCATGAACCCATACTGAACTCCAGCAGATAAGCAGTTGTGAAATATGTGTATGTGACCCACATGACAAGGGCCTCCCCTTGTGTTTAGTGTGTAAAACAGCAGAATGATTTGGAGGGAAACTTAACCTCCCAGCTTGGTATCCCAAACATCAGAAAGGAACATTTGACACCCGTCCTCACGTAAATTGCGACAAAATACTGTCAATCTTTAACTTAACCATTACATAAAGATTCTTTATTTATGCACAGGATATAATATCATGACGTAAACTGATGGTGGTTCCACGTCAGAATGATTAACAGTCAGAGCTTTCTTAGATGGACGTTGCATTTGGGCGAGGGTTGTCTTTATTTATTCAAATAATGATTTATATGTTGCTTTGACATGAATAAAAAAAAACTGTTAGAGAATCACTCTAAACCTGCACATCAGGTATATCAAGGGAAGAAATTTGGAAACTAACAGAAACACTGAGTAAATTGCTATTTTCTATAGTCAACTATTGCTTTTCAAAGGAAGGTGGCAGCAGTGTACATCTGATCTAATATGAGCCAGCAAAACAAAACCAGGAAGTATGTCTTCCTGTCTTCTCAGGGTGTTGTTTCATGACGAACGCATTCATTTTAAAAATGACTCAAAAAAGTTTTATACTTGCCTTAGGGATTATACCATTTTGCATTGAACAGATACTTGGTGAGTTATTTGTCATGAAAATGTTTTTCATTCTTATGTCAAATGTGTTTTTGATCAAATGTACGCTTAATTTCCTGTAATGGCATGCTAGGCATGCTAGGCCTTGGTTTAGTTTTTGTTGTGGTTTAGGCGTTTTTGGATTATGGTTGCTTTTATCTATCACAGGATGCTCTTTGAAAAACGTTTCCTGCAACAAAATAAAAACTTCTGCCGGATTCACGTTTGAACATGACTGTCCAGAGGGGAGCACGATTTTCATCAGTGATGAGAATGAGGTATTTTGATTTGCATGTCAATACACACGGTTTTAAATGTAAAGCATTTATTAAAATTTTGCTTTGGCAGAAGCTTGATATACTGAAAAGCCTAAAAGTGAGAAAGTGCAAAGTAGTAGTTCTTTGTTTTGTTTCCCTCAGACTATGATTGGCTACGCAGATTCAAGCAGTTCTAATCATTCGAGTGAGATAGTGAACATGGACAACAGTTCAGTCACCACAAAGAGCTGCCAAAACCTCTTGGTTGAATGTCTTCTGCATTCTGTGAGTACTAAAGTGAATAAACCATTGTCTTCTTTTGTGAAAGTAAAACATTTAGACAAAAATGTTATAGTGCGGGTTTCTATTCTGCTACACAGAAAACTCTCTCTGAGATCTGTTTGGATTTTAAAGCAATTACAGGTAAGAATAACATTTTCTAATTTTGTCAACAAAGCTTATTTTCCATCAATGAACATGATTGTTTGGTTAAAAAAGAAATCCATCTATAATCTCAATGATTTCAGTTCAAACAGAGAATTCCAGTCCTGCTGGTTTTTCATCACAGCGTGAGTGGAAATATATTCTCCTGCTATGTGTTCTAATTTCACTGCTTTGCCTAATTTTGTCCTGCTACTGTTAAAGAATGGTAAAGTAATGAATAACTGATGTTAATATTAGACTATATTTGGTATGAATTTTGCCTGTCTTCCAGTTATTGCAGCCATGATAACTGTGACCACTGTGACCACTGTCATCATAATTGCTGGAGCATGTCTTTTCTACTGGAAAAAGAAACTGAAGTGAGATAATATGTTGTGAAAATAAAGCTGTAATGCCTTAAAAATGTATTATTACACTGTGATTTTTACTGTTTGAAAAATCTGTGTTAATCGTTTGTTTTTTGTCTATCAGGAAGCAGAATCCCCTGACCTGTCCCTGCGTGCTATATAGGTCAGTTCTACTTTTAAGACTTTAGCATCATAGGACACTTCAATTATTTTTACATAATGTCCATGATCACATCGATTGTATCTATAACTATGAAAATAGTAATCATAGAGAGGACCAAGGGGACTCTGACCTTTACAATCAACAGATAAAGAAAAAATAACTCTGAAAGTGCTTTCAATAAAAACGGAAAGTATGAAATTCAACTAGACAAATCACATATTTAAATAGATTTAGACATTTTACACATTTAACACACAATGATTTGACATTTGCTCTAAACATTTTCAGTGGACAGTGAAAGGTCCAAACAAAGACTTGCAAAAATAAATGGATCCTGCGAAATTAAAGTCTTATCTTTCTTTTATAGCTGCGGAAATTACAGGGATCCACCGGGATGTGTTGAAAATTATGCCGAACAAAATAACACCCAGGACAGGTGAGGCTCTCACCTTAACAACTGAATGTCTTCACTTTGCACTTTTAGTAGCTTGTTAAATGTGTGTGTGTGTGTGTGTGTGTGTGTGTGTGTGTGTGTGTGTGTGTGTTTATGTGTGAATGCTTATTAGAAGAACCCTGTCTAAACTGGTACTGATTTTACAACTGATGCTGCCACACTTCAAGTTCTCAGTTCAGTTCACAACTTAACCTCAGAGGGAATCCAGATAACTCAAAAGTGAATGGAAAAAGTCTGTCACCAATTTATATTTGAGATATGAGATATGAGAACCTGAAGGATATCTTCTACACATTCATAAAAAAAAAACTTTGTACAAAATCTGCTCTTTTCAGTGGAGACATGACAACCCCAAACATAGTTCCCTCTGACCAAAACGCCATCAACAGGTGAGATTTTGATTTTGAAGACACTGAGCAGAAAGTATCCATCCATCCCCCTCCCTAAATAAACAGTTATATGCTGTTTAATCTGTGGAAGGTGTTTGAGGCATGATCCGAGGGGGAATAATAGCACAACAGAGACGCCAGACTGAAACAGAGCAAATCATACTACGAAATCATCAGATGGAACATATGATGGTAGCCAGTATGTGATGCCGGCACCATCTGTCTAAAGATGTCTTTCTATCTCTCTTATCCATTAATTGCTGAGATACTCTTTAAATCACGCATGAAACATCTCATATGAGTATCTTATTATCTCCCACTTAAAAAGAGTAGAAAGATCTGCAATTCTCATCATAGGTACACGTCAGCTATTAGAGACATAATGAAAAAAGAAAAAATCAAGGAATCACATTGTATAATTTATCTTTAAATTATTGTGGAAAACGAGTATTTGGTCACCCACAAACAAGCAAGATTTCTGACTCTCACAGACCTGTAACTTATTCTTTAAGAACGATGAGCAAAAATCCTAGAGCTACTCAGAGGGATGAGATCATATGTCGTGAGATTTTAAGCCAAAACCTCCTCCCCTCAGTGAGGGCGTTGAAGATGGAATGTGGGGGGTCTTCCAACAGGACAATGATCCCAAACACACCGCTCGGGCCACAATGGACTGAATATGTGCATGTTCATAGACCCTTGAGAGTGATCGTGTAAAAATGACCTGCTGCTTTAACTCTATGATTTTGGTGCATGTCTGATAACTCATAATGAGTCTCCATGACCAGGGAGGTGGAATCCAGATTGGATGTTGATCACACGGATGAGGATCGTGAGCCCGAAGGTCAACCACTGCTGCCGGAACAACGGTGAGGCTGCCTGGCGTTGTGTCACAGTTACATCACAGTCAATTTACGTACTTTATACACCACTTGAAAACCTGAAGAGTCAGTGTTCATAAAAGAAAATCATCACACCTGCTAAAAAAAGTGAGATTAAAGGAAAAATAGGAATGATGGCTTGTTGATTTCTGTCATCAGAGCTACCGGCCAACATTTTGAGATGACTGAAAAGGCTACAGCCTCGGTGAACGAGCATTGTTCTGGCCAAGACCAAGTCAGGAAGTCTTCTGCTGCACATGTAAGTTCGACTGTTTCTGTCGTGGAGATAAAGAGTATTCTTTTCACCTAATTTCCATTAATTCTAAGTTTTTTCTATTTTGATTTTTGCAGACTGACGTGGAGTCAACATCTAAAGACAATCTCGTTGTGATAGTAACACAATAAGAAGCCATGGTGATAGTGATTAAATATATATTATATAAATATATAATATGATAATATATCAATATGATATATAGTAATGTATAATAATAATAATAATAATAATAATAATAATAATAATAATAATAAT